CCTTTGTAATAGTCAATCCCATGCTAAAATTCATGGATTGCTTTGATTCAAATCTCCTATATTCTTGTACTGCAGGTTGAAAGCCTTTTAGTTGCAGGAAATGCAACAACTGACTTGATTTGCAGGTGATTCTTTTGTTCTCTTTATTTAGATTTTATGTGTGTGCTAGTCAGTAGACATAATACATTTGGTTTTCCCATCACAGACCACATGTCATCCCTATAAATTCTTTATTAGTGCTTTATCGATCAAAGAAATAATGCTCAAAAGAACGGGGTGCTTTGAAACCAGGTTTGGTCAAGTATGAATAAAAAATGTAAAACAACGCGAGAAAAAAATTTGCATTGGGAGTGGGTTGCGCGAGGGGAAGGGGGTGGAGTGGGGTGGGATGGGGCGGGCAGTTACACATGCCACCCTCCCCTGAAAACTGAACCACAAACTACGACAATAACGAGGAAGCCGAGTTCAACAGCAAGAAAATGAGATTTGGTTTTCGAAATCACTGCCCAAGTAMTCCTGTTTGTAGCTGGTTAAAACATTACTGAACTCAAAATCACCAAGTCATTTTTCTCTCTTATAGTTCCAGCGACTATCAGATGGTTGACTGCTTATCTCCAAGGTTTCTTTCATCTGTCACAGAATTGACACGTCAGAAAGCGATAAACTTCACAATTAAAGGTAAAACAATTAGTCATACATGACTTTTCCAGATTTGCCTTACTTCCATTGGGATCGAATCAGCTTTTAATTTGCCAAAACGTGATGTCGAAAGAAAGAAACGGAAAACAGAGAGAAAGAAAGGAAAGGGAGTGGGGGGAAATTAAGGATGTTCATGTTCAAAAGCAATCCATCGTCAGTTTTTTTAACATTTTGCYTGATGAAGTACATCATACAATAAGAGATCATGGCTTCTTGGTATAAAGATGCGCGCGAGTCTGAAGTTACTTAGTCGAGGTTGCAGAATTAGTGCAGTTTTCGGAATGATGTCCTTTTCTCACTCGCATTGGCAGTTGTCTGGTGTGCCCTTCCTGGGTCGCTCTGTTCCATTGGAGGGAAGGAAGCTATGGATTCCACGTTTTCCTAAAGCTTTTGATCGTATAAATGAGTGCAAGTCTCTTGATCCACATTATTGTTTTTAAGGATTTGGTGTAAAGCATACTCTATCCTACCAGTCACTGACCAACCTATGGCGCCGTTACCAGCCCAGCTTTGAGAACCAGGTTAGTCAATCTAGCCWATCGCTTCTCTGTTGATGGGAAGGAGTTAGCGAGTTCCCGTCGCGTTGTAACAAGGGAAGGAAAGAACAGAAAAAGCCTTTGCGTGTATTAATCGCCAAATAAAACGCACAAAAGCATATTGTTTCCAAATAAAGAAATAAACTTGAGTGACGACAGGGTACGAATCTGAATTATTGTAATCACTGAGTCAAATTTTCATGTCAAAAATACTAAATAGAATTGGGGGGTGGGGGAGCATCTCTTTCTTTATCTCCCTCTCTACCCCACTGAGTTGCCCTAAAGATAGTAATGATGGGAGTTTCTTACTCGGTTGTGAGATAAATTATATCAAAGGAAAGCCTTGTTATATTTCTTAAGCCTTCTTATATTTCCTTGTTGTTTTCTATAGATTTTTGATCTCGTGGARGCAGTAGTTCTACGTTATCCAGATGCCTCAAATAATGATGTCAAGATCGTCATTGAGACCATATACTTGGCAAGTGATAGTATATCTAGTACAGAGCTTTTTAAGTGTGAGGTTAATCTTATGGAAAAATGACTTCCGGGTCCAAAACGAAAAGGAGTTCTATAAAGATTTTTCTGACTTTCTCTTCATGACCATCTTGAAAGGTAGCCGTTCCTTTGCATCGAAGCGAGACGAACGGTGAGCGTGCAATGATAGAGACGTGTGAATAATTGTCCAAGGTGTCAAAAAAAGGTCTCTATCATTACAAGCTCACCGTTCGTCTTACTTCGATGCAAAGGTACGGCTACCTTTCAAGATGGCGCAGGGAACTGTGAAGGGGTCTATTGTCATCCAAAATCCTATTTTGTTCAGGTGGAGGTTAAATCGTTGAAAACATTTTTCACTTTATTTTAACTTTGATCGATTAGCAATTCCGAAGTTGAGAAAAATGGGTTGAGTTTGCATTGCAATGGATTGTGGGACTATCTTAGAAACGAAATTGTCGCCATCTTGAAAATATGTCCCTATAAACAGTCCCGCAATGCACTGCAATGCTAACTCTGCCCACTTCTCTCCTCGACCTCGGAATGACTAATTTTCACGACCTCATTTTCTTCACATCTAAAGGCCAGAGCATGCAGGGATTATGAAGAACTTTTCTTGGTAGCAATACAAATCGTCTAGTAAGTCAATAAGTTACGTTAAAGTGGTCCCAAAACCTATCATGTGGAACACCTTAGATATACGAATAACTCTTCAGCTATTATTTTTAACCCCTTTACTTTGTGGAAATTCACTGTTAAATCAGTCCCATTTTTATCTTATCTTATCTTGTTTTTACTCGCTATTTTGCAGTTCATTTGGTCGCAGTTCACCTCAAAACACAAGACTTACTTTACTTCTGAATTTACTTAAGGAATCCATAGCGAGGTCATCAGTCGCAGTGGAGATAGCACAGTGACCTTTAAATAATTGAAACCCTAACGCCTTGGAGTTGGAGGACGCAAAGTTTTATTGAATGGAAGCATGTTTTTCTTTGTATTCTTTATTTTTCTCGTGTGTCACGCAGCACAAAGTCAAGAATCAGATTTCTACGTTTACCATTCGTTTCAAGCTCTCGCTTCTTCGTCTATTATAAAGGTTTTGAAAGTACAAGGACAGTTGAAATGTGCTTTATCGTGTTCAGGTTTATCTGGCTGTCACTCTTTTAACTTCGCACACGAGAAGGACTCGGAAGGTAACCATGTTTGTCAACTGTTGCCCAACGACAAGGGAATTAAGACGTTGGAAAGAAGCGACGTATTTCACTACTACGAAAAGTTTAACCCGGTAAAACGTAACATTTTCACTCATAAATTACATCACGTTTTCATGTCACTTTTGTATAACAATTTTATTACAAGAATGCAGTTTTTTTTACACTTGAAAGACTTACAAATACCATTAACAGCATTATGATATTATTACTCTAATCTTTGCAAAGTAAACTGACATAGTTTTTTGAATTTCCCTCGCGCTCTATTATGATTTTCAATACCCTAATGATGGAGAATTATCTTCAAAAGCTTGGTTTAGAAAAAAGTATTACGTGGTCGATATAAAACATCTATAAAACATAGTTGCTTCAATTTATTCTTTTTATGACTAATGAATTTTGGTTGAAAGCTAAACTGATAAGTTTGTAGCAAACCTGTGCAAATAAATACTCAATCAYATTCCAATTATTGGGGATATACAATTAATTTCAGGGCATATTTATGATTTTCCCAATATATAATTCTATTATTACTGAAACATTGCCTTTTTTAAACTAATAAATCCTCTCAGAAGTTACACAGTTAAAGAATAGAAACGAATGTTGAACTATAATCAAACTTCACAAAAAATCTCTTTAACAATTTGTGGCATGTGCAATATTGATTCAAAGCCGAGACGGAATACAATTGATTTACAACTCGGCTACGTTTATAGGCTGAATTTTTGTTTTCTGAACATTCGATCAAAACTACCATGCGCACTATTACGCATTTTTTCTATTTTGACGAGAGAGAGAGGAAAAACAAAAACAAAAAAAAAAACAAGCGTATTTCAAGACTGGTTTGACACAGGCAACCCAGTAATTAGAAAATCAGACAAACCCAAACATATGGTAGCAAGTGTATTTGCCCAACTAATCAAATTCATCAATATGTCGTACTGTTCGTATTGCCATAAAAATACAAACACAGCCGTTTTTAAGGTGTATTTTCCTTTAATTACGCGTTTATTGTTTTCCTTTTCTGCTCTCTGGATTCGGACATTCAATTTTAAGCAACATTAAAAAAATTTCTTTAGTAAAATTAAACGAGACTTATATCGAATTGTATTCATTGTTGTTATTTTTTATTGGCCATGTATTCCTTTTTTTTCCTATTTTTTATTGGCCATTTATTCGTTTTTTATTTTTTAATGGTCATATATTTGTTGTTTTTATTTTTATTGGCCATTTATTCGTTGTTTTTTATTTTTTATTGGCCATATATTCGTTGATTTTATTTTTTAATGGTCATATATTCGTTGCTTTTATTTTTTACTGGCCATGTATTCCTTTTTTTTCTATTTTTTAATGGTCATATATTCGTTGTTTTTATTTTTATTGGCCATTTATTCGTTGTTTTTTATTTTTTATTGGTCATATAWTYGKTSWTWTWWTYKTTKWTT